TAGATGACCTTTAAGGACCTTTCTGCCCCTAGCCATTTGATGATTTAATATTTATAATTTCAATCTGATTTTATAAATAATTCTAGAATACATGATTTATATACATATATTTTTGCTGAGAAAATAAATGTAGGATTGCAAACTTTGAGGAGATTTTTTACTCTTTACTGTCTGTATTTTTCCAAGAACAAATATAAGTGACCGTGTCTTGTATATACTGTAAGTATGGGATTGCTTCTCAGGAGTCTGAGAGAGAGGAGATGTCTGCCTTCTCCTACACTTTCTTCTGGGAAATGGGATGTCAGACATTTTAAAGTAGTATTTGAAGGTAGAAAACTGGATAGGAATATTCATTTCTTTTCATTGCTTTAAAACTGTGTGTTATAAATTTATTCTAATGTGTCAGCAACATGTAGTGCAGTGATCTGGATCCTCAGGGACCGGCCTGAGATATAAGCTTGAGTTTTAGTGCTAGGATACAGAAACATTGACAGTGGGATATTTGGAACAGCAGGTTTTGATACAGCTACATTAACTGTTAGGCAGAATTGGAACCAAGCAGTTCATTTGCAAATTTTTACTATGCAGCCATGGTTCAGATCTTCCTCTGCTCATTTTCTATTTTGTTTCATAAATGTTTCAAGTTTCCTTTAACCACAGTCATGGTTATCCACAGATGAACGGATTAGATTTATGTAACGTCTGTTGAAATAATCACAAAAGGAGAGTCTTTGAACAGTATCTCATTTGAGAGAACATAGTAAGTATGTCCATAAAATATAACAAGTTTTTACTGAGTTAATGTATTTAAACTTGTATTTTCTAAATGACTTTCCTTTTTGCCTAGAAAAGGGCATTTACACTTTATAACACACACCCCCCCCCCAATAAATTAATGGGAGAATTAAATAAGAGATATATGTGTAGAGTAGAGAAAGGTAATAGAAACGGTCCTATCATTAGGATTAAAGGGGAATGGGCTATCATTAATTACTTTTGAGCTTATTCCACTCAAGTACAAAGATATTTTTTAATCTCTGTTGATCTAAGCAATCAGCTGAAATTTAAGAACTGATGAATTACTTTGGTTAAGAGAAATTGCTGAGCTATTTATATTGTTAATACCATTTTATATATTGAGACGGGATCTTGGTGCCTTGAGTACTGGAGAAACCAACTGTTACAATTTTTTTTTTTTTTCTTTCTTTTTTGATTCAGGGTTCTAAACTTATTTCCTGTCAGTGTTGAGCCCCAGGGCAGTCTCCTGATTTTCCTTAGGTCCTGCCCTTGTTATTAATTCTGCTGTACCTTAAGTGTCTGCTTTTTTTCTTCACTTGTCTATGTTTTCATGATTGTCTCTTGTAGAAATAATAGGAGTGAAAGGCACAGTCTTGGTCTTTGATTTCCTTGTTCTGCAGACCTTCAACCTCTGATAGTTAAAACCCCCCCCAAATATTGATGACAACTTTGTATGGATTTGTGCTTGTTCCAAAATTGTTCCTTTACTTGAATATGTTTTCTTTTTCTTTGGCACTTCTACCTTGACACCTACACAGACCTCCCCCTTTCATTTAAGCTAAACAAAGCAAATGTTTTCAGCTTCTCAAAATTTCCCTGATCATTGTAGAAACTTTTATCTCTTGCAATTTGAAGTTCTTTTTTAGGCATAGATGATCAGAATAAGGAACAGTAAGATTTTTATAGAATGTCATGTTATTGTATTAATGTTGATGTCCATGTACTAGAAATATTCTCACTGATAATTTTAAAGCTTAATTTTCATAGGAACATTATGTTAGTAGCTCATAATTACTCTGTCGTTAGCTTTGTCCCCACAGTTTCATCCACTAATTTTCAACTGATGAACTCTCAATTCTTAAAAGAATCTTAATAATCTGTAAGTTCACATCTTTGCATTTTGTGTTATTAAATTTTACCTCAATTTTATTCTTTTGGTCCTAAAGGTAATCCATGTCTTCCTGGTGATATTCCATTCCTCATACATTATCAGTGCTTTCCAATATCAGAAATTTTTGAACAAACCAAAACTCTGATTTTTGGTATCATTCATACTACTTATGATGTGATCATTAATAAAAATATATAGTAAAATTTACCCCCCAAAATGCTGCTGAGGAATATGTGACAGTATTGTTCTTCCAACTCTTTTGGTAAATCACTACATCATCTCACCTTACTTTTACAATCTGCAATATCTTTCACTGATCTCAAATGTTCTCTATCGTTAATACAAGCAGACATGACTTTAAATTAAGAAGTTGAGTGACAGAGCTTCCATTGTTTGCTCACACACTGCTCATGTCAGGTCTTTTTGATATGAAGCTGGTTTGTGATACATTCAAAGTGACCACTATTTCACCTTGCATAATCCACAGGAACTCTGAATTTACTTTTTTTCTTTTTTTATTCTTTCTTTTTTCCTGTGAAGAAAAATGAAATTAAAGCAAACTATTAGTGTGAGTAATGTTTTTGTATGGTATAATGTGATACCTGTTGATATTATAAAGGTAATGGATTATCCGTTTTTTGCTTTAACATATCTCACAATAAATACCTATAATTTGTAAAATACTATTATAGTTTTACCCTCTCTCTGTTTTAACACTGCTAATGAAATGTTAAAATTTTTGCTTCTGCAAAATAGTAATTCTGTTGTCGTGAGGAAAAACATGGAATAACTTCTGGGAAAAGGTTCTACTAGCTGGGATAATATGCATGAAGAAATAACTGTGTGTTTACAATTTGTACTGAGATCTTAACCTAACTCAGGAAAATAGTCTTCTGTCTTGTCTTTTGCTAGCTCTTAAATTCTTCAAATGTCCAGCTGGGGGAGAGATTATGTTCTCTTTGTGAGCAGAAATTCTTAAGTGATGTTTCTGACAGATTTGTTTATAGCTCCTAGCTTTGTATTTTTCAGTCTTTAAGTGCAGATCATTACATAGTATAGGATTTGCACAGAGAGAGAGCCTACATAATATTTATGAAAGTTGGCTTGGCAACGTATGGTTCTTTATTTGATCACTTCTTACCATCTTGCTGACCTTCATATCCAGCTAGGTGGCTTGTGGGGACTTGGAAGTGGTTGCCAGCAATTTACAGATGCAAGGTTGTACTCTGTTATGTAGTTGTAAGTAGCTACTGATCAGGATATAGTGTTGCAGAACTGAGTGTTTGCATAGGAGTAGATAACAATATTTAATGCTGCTGTTTTTTGTCTTTTTTTTTGTTAATTACCTTTGGAAGTAACCATATTACCTTGAGAGATACTCCCATTTCATACTGATGTGGGGAAGGCTATTTTCCCCTTCTTTTACTGCTGAATCACTCTTGTCTATTTTTTGAAGGGCCCATTGTCTCCTTGTGTGTATGTTTTTATATCTTTTGGACACAGATTTAGTAATATTTTCTGAGTTGAAAGTGACTTCATGAGTTATTCTGGAAAAACCTTAAAAGTGGCAGCTTTCAAGAATATTTACAGTGTTCAAATTGGCACCCTGATTGCCACTATCATCAGCAGGAAAAAGACAGTGTCAGGTTGTTGGGCATCAAGATTAACTCTCTTGGAGGGTATAAAAAGCAGCATCAAGTTTGGCCTGATCTGGTTCCCTATGTCACTTTAAAGCCTCTTAGGGCTTCAGTGACTAGCCTCTGCTAGGCTACTGGCCATATCACCAGAGGCTGTGCAAATGTATGGCTGAGTTCCCCTTAGCTGTAGATGTAGCGTCCTTACGTCGAGGAAATTGCATACTGTATAAAGTGAATCAATTAAAAATTGATAGCAGACAGTCTCTCTCTCTCTAAAGGGAAATATATGGTATTCATGGATAAGACCAGTTTGCTTTTATCAGTGCCATAATGTGAATGACTATAAGCCAAATTTAATTAACTTGAAGTTACTCAAAAGAGCAATTACTACAACTGTATAATAATAATGTTAAACTAACAGAATAGGGTCTGGGTGAATTAATTTAGAACCATTTACTTCTATTTTCAGCTTCTGCTTGTATTTCAAAGTAAAGAAGGACATCCCAATTCACTTGAAAAACATGTAAGCTGTAGTTAAATTAGGGAAGATTTTTTCCTCCAAGTTTTATTTGTCTGTAAAATTTGACCGGTAGCAATATATTTCAGTATGTGTTGAGGGGATGTTCCTGTGTGTTTAAGGATATGGACTGAGTGCCTTAATAGGACTTTCTCACTGTGTGAACATGAATAATTTTTCTGTGGGTCTAGAATTCAGGGGAATTAGTAAATGATAACTCTTTCCACTTTGTTGGTGGCACTGTTTCATCTTAGTTCTGTGAAGTGATTTGTTTTGTTTGCATAAGTTTGTTGCCATAATGATAGCAACAATAAAAATAAATAATGATTTATAATAACCAATTTGATTTGCATCAAGTATATGTTTTAATGAAAAGTTAGGTTATTATTTTGTAGTCTTCATAATTTAAAAATTAGTAAGGAGGATACTGTACATTTGTTAGCTTGAAAGGTCTCTCATATCAGAAAAATCCCATGCATGATTGTTTGGTTTGATATCAAAACACATTTTTGCTGTCATAATACTGGCACATTTTCAAGGCATGCTGTTTTCTGCCTGCTAGCAGGGAGTAATGGAAACAATGCAGTTATCGTGCAATTTATTGAAAATAAACACTAAGAATACTTAGGCAAGCAATGTTTTTAATTTAATAGGGAGTAGGATTCATAAGGCTGCATAAAAAGCTGTTTCAGTACCACAGAGGTATTTAAATGCCTTGCTGCTTGTGAATTGTTTATAATCTCTTTCCAGTAATTTTCCTTTGGATCAGATTGTGATGCTTCTTCAGAATGGTGATAGTGCTTGTTGAGGAGTGGTCATGCAAGCAAAATTTGATAACCTCGATATGTCACTTCATCTGCTGCTTTTCTTTTGTTAATGCAAAGCTCGTTGCATAATATCTAATTTCTCCTCTACCTGACCACAGATGAAAACAAAATCTATAATGGCAGCGCTAGATTTTATAAAAAAATGCAAGTGAGGAGTTGAAGGATGTGGCTTGTTCTGTTTGGATGATGCAGGATCGCTTTAAGCAGTAAGCTTACTGTTTTCAGATGGCATTAGCAGCATCAGTGATATAGCTGTGTCAGCCTCCTTGACTACTGGATGTCTGTAATCGCACGGAGGAAACTATATTTAAGGTCTGATATCTTAAGGGTAATGACTCCAGCACTTGCTCATGGAGAGAATGGCTGTTAATGCTTTCTTCACTAGCCCAGAAGATTTTGAAAGATAGATGGGTTTGTGATGTACTTTTATAAGACAGGAAATGCAATTTTTGGGGGTCTCTGGAAATAGAAAGGTCATGCAGCTGGGAACCGGTGAGACATTACAGTCTCTAAGTCATCAGGTATGACCTCACAGTTTATACTAATATCTCTAACACAAGGGTTTGTTTTACAGTTTTCAGTCATTTACAATCTCTTTGTCTGTGTAATTGCTTCATGTTGGATTTGCTACAGGGTTTATAGGATAGACTGTTTACATAAGCAGGGCAATGTATATCTTGAAAATTTAACATGTTGTTAATTGCTATTTCAACAATGTATGGTTATTCCATATATATTTTCAACCTGTTTTTATTGTGAATATGATTTCCTTTAACTAATTCATGGTAAAAGGTTATACCTTTGCTGTAAAGTAAAATGACAAGATTGTATTGCATTTTTATTTTGCTTTATCTTTATGTGGTGCACAAAGATATTGTGAATGTGTGTGTTTGTCATATGAAATGCAGTATAAGGCAACTGTTTACCTACAGTGGCAGGTTATTTAAAACAACGTATCACATTGTGTAACAGGACTGAGCTATTCTGCAGGCACAGCTCTTGCTTCATTTTGCAGTAGTAGATTTTTTTTTTTTGCTTCATTTCAAATCAGTTTTAAAAATAGCTCACTGAACATAACAGTGAAAGTTTGGTGAGATAACTCTCCCCTTTTTAATTATTGTACTCAGTGACACATACTAATGGGTTGTAAAAGAGAAGATTAATAACTTAAATATTTAGAATCTTATTTAAAAGCAAATTCACTTTACTGAAGCATGTCTAATCCTTTTTGTTTTTAACTATTGCCAACTTTATTGTTCAGCTGATACTTTTGTATTTGCTAATGTATTGTGATAGATAGGAAAGTCATAGTACATAAAAACCCAAGTATATGGGTATTTTACATAGGAAGATAGTGGCCTACTTTCATGTATAGAACACAAAATAGAATTGGAGATATTGTTATCACTTTAGGTGTTATAAATGCTAGATAGTAGCCATTGTTTCCCTTGAATACATCATAGAGCAATTATATTTGGAATTGTAGGAGAAGTTTATTTTTAAAAATGATATTCAGCTCCATCTTAAGAAATTCTAGATGTATTTGCAGAACATTTCCATGGCAACGTGTTTGGCCATGTGTTTTAAAAGCTCAGCTGAAGCCTGAAAGTAGTGTGCAATTTTTTCTGTTGCTTGCTTTACCCTTGTGGAACAACAATATTCATATATAAGTGAACTGCAGATTGGCAGTGGTGGGTGATATTTCCTGACCCCAAAGTTACAGGATTAAGTGATCAAGATTTAAAAATGTTTTCATATTTCTACCTATAAATGTAAACATGTAAAATATGGATTTGATTTTGCATTTAGAACTGTATTCTGGTTTCACCCCCACTTAATAACATTTTGTTGGAAACGTGTGTGTGGGAGATTGCAGAAGACCACTTAAAAAAACTTAAGAATGTGCAGCAAATTGCTACAGCAAAAATGGCTGGTTTTAAATTTGTAATTAAAAATATATTTTAAAAAAAATGTTATATTACTTTCACTGACCATAATTTATAGTTTCCCAGTCTACTTATCCAGCTTACATTCTTATTAATTATGGGGAAAGACTGCCTTGCTCTCAGGCTTTGATTAGGTTTGGAATTATTTAACTATATCTTTCACTTGCTACAAGATCTTCTTAATCTGTTAGAATTTATTTTCAGTATTTTAATGTATTAGTCACAATGAGTACATTCTGTTTCTTGGCATTGGAATGAAATTCCTGAAAGTATTGGTTTCATGGTATTTTGGTGCTTTGCAGGGTATTTATGGACTTTTTAATAGGGCCAACCCAGCCCCCCAGCTTCTTTGCTTTCCTTAGTCAAGTATAATTTAAAATCTTGACCTACCTGTATTTTGAAGTTGTTCTCAAAGTCTTCTTCATTCATTTAAAATAATTAGATCTCCATGGAATTTTGCATAACTGGAAGCTATAGCAGTATGTCATGTGTGTATCCTGGATTCTGTTTCATCATTTATATTAATTCTGCAAACTGTATTCAGTGGGTATTTTTGAAATGTATCATTGATACTAATCTCCAAGTAGTGCAATAGTCATCCATTGCAGCCTGTTTAGGATAGAAACTGTATCTACAGATGAAAATAAATTGGTGAAGAATGCTTGCTTGAGGAAGTGTGTGTTTAGGTCATTCCATTTTGAAACAAAGATATTACTGACTGTTTTTTCACTCAAAGGACATAGTCCCATTATAGGTCCCTCTTAATTTGGATGGACTAGGGAATGATACCTCAGAGGAATGTATTAAGGAAGTGAAGTTCTTTCGTAAGAGAAGGAATTGCAGCAACATACAGATGCACACATGGGAGCAGGGAATTTGACTGAAGTGGTCTGAAAACTTAAAACTATAAACTATTTTGCTTATTTAACTCCCCTGCCAGGTTTAAAATATACTTGCTGATATTTGGTCATATTGCACAAATTTGGAAACACTTAATCCAGTGGCAGTGTGTTGATACTGACTTAACAAGAAGGTTTTTTATGTCTTCTTTAAAACTATACTGTCCATCTTCAAGTTGACTGCAACTGTCAGTATTTGCAGAATGCTGTGTAAAGAAGGATCTCTCTAACTAAATAATTCTTTCCCTTTGACTGTGCATAATGACTACACATCTGTGAGTATGTGTTTCCCTATCTTTAAACGTTCCGTTTTACAGAACTTGATGATGAAGATCTTATAAAGAAGCCAAGTTCTGTATGAATGTTTCAGGAACAGTCTTAACTAGCAAGCTGCAAGAAGCCCAGTATCTGTGTCACTTACCAATTCTAAACATGAATGTTCACACTCACGCACATACTCGGTTGTATAGTGCTTTTACTTGTTACTGACTGCCCTTCTGATTCCACACTACTGACTTTTTTTGTATGTTATAGTGCCAGTTTTTAGTGGCAACACTAGGTCAAATAGGAGATTGTGGCCAAACATTCACAAATGCCAAAAAAACACTAGAAGCAAAAAGTGTTTTCAGAGTGAGTTGAAGGAATGCAGGTCTTTTCGTCCCACATTAGTCTCCCTCCCAAGAGATGATCCTTTTCTCTGGTCAAATTCTCCTCGTTTAGTATTTGAATTCATATACCAAGTCATTGGGCCTAATGACCTGAATTAGGGAAGGTTTAGTGTAGTCTGAACCAGACAGTAACATAACACAAATATGTAATAGCTAACTGCAGGGTCACAAAATATATAGCTAAATGACCAGTGTTTCAAGAATATCACCATGTGATAATTTGAGTAAAGACTACTTGAAGGAATTTTTCTGGGATGTAATACGAAAATGTGAATAAATCACAACAATGCCACAGTAATCTGTTGAAAAAATTTAAAATAGTCATAATTAGCCCCAACCAATTCCTGTAGAGCTAGAACCACCTAGGAGGCAGTAGTAGGGAAGGTGGACCGTATTAATACAATAAAAGAGAATGGTGATGCATTATTTAGAATGACATTTTGGAGAGAAGCAATCCCAGCTATGGTTCATTCTTTTTCTCCCCTCCTCTCTCTATCATAATGAGCCTCATAAATAATATGACCTGTTCATATTGTTTCTTGTTTCCTTGCAAAACTGTACTTATTTTGCCTTACTTAACTTTTCAGTAAAATTATTAGTAAAAAAACATTAACATGAGGGCTGTTATACTACTGTGATCAGTGTCTTTGGTCTCATGATAATTTCTTTCAGTAGAAACTAAGTAGAAGCTGATCCATAAATTTCAATAGATTGCTTAATTAGTAAAATCAATATAAACTACAGAATAAGCTACATAATGCTTTCCATTCTGCCATACTGATTTCAGCCCAACTCAAAAAGGGCAAGCATCACTTTCATTAATTGATTAAAAAATGTATGTACCAGTAAGAGATTACAAGTTATGGCTGATGATAAGGTGGGGAAATACTACTATTCCCATTTTATTAGAGGGATCAAGTTTTTTCTTGTATTTAAGTGAAACTTCTCATATTTTTAATTTGTGCCTATTTCCTTTTGCCCTGTCACTGGGCACCACTGAGAGGTGTCTGGGTAAGAACTTCACTACTTCTCCCCCAGTCAGGTATTTGTATGCTCTGATAAGACTCCTCTAAGCCTTCTCTTCTCTAGGCTGAAACAGTCCCGGTGCTCTCAGCCTCTCCTTCTGTGACCTTTGTGGCCCTTTACTGGGCTTACTCCAGTATGTCCATATCTCTCTTGTAAGAAGGGAGCCCAGAACTGAACAGAGTGCTCCAGTTATGTCTCAACATGGCTGAGGGGCAGAATTACATTACCTGGTGAGGTAATTTGAATTGTCTGTTAATTGATCAATCAAATATGGGAAACTTTGGACGGGAATACTTGAAAAAATAAGGGCTGAATGCACTGAAAGTTGTAAATACTAATGTTTGTTGGTAATCTTATGGAGAAGAAAAGCTTTGAAAATAGTTTTGCTTAATTCACGGCAGTTGTTTTAGCGATAAAACCTCCTGTTGTTTTGGAATGTCTTATATGGAATCTGTGTCCCCCGATGCCAGTTGGTATAAGCAGAGAATAACTCCTAATGGGGAAGATTAAGCTTTAATATTTTGACCTAAGCGAATTTTAAAGTAACTGAATAAAAATATATCATCTAGTATGATATCACTATTAAAAAAAAAAAAAAAGGGGGGGGTAAATTATGGGAACCTGAGAACATGAACTCCAGGGATTCATAAGTTGTGTTTTAGTCAACTCACCAAAAATTATTTGTTAACCTCTAGTGGAAACTCAGAGCATGCACAGAGCTCTCAAATGTTCTCAACTGATGCAGCAGCCATCAACTGATACAAAATATTCAGCTTGTTTCATTGAATGAAAATGTAAAACAGGCATTAAGTGACATGAGGGAGTGAGGGAGTGTTGAGGTATTGTAAAAATTTGCTCATTTTTGTAATAGCTTTCCCCTTTTTCCCTAAGCTACTTAAATAAAACAAAAATGTATATAGGAGCCTTCAGTGATTCAAGATTCATTTGTTTGTCTCCTGATAACATAATGAGTTCACTTGTT